AATAAGAAAAGGCATAAAGGAGTGATGAGAAAGTAATGAAGGAATATATGAATGACTAAGTGTAGGTGAGGAAATTTACCTACCCAAGTAGAGGAAGTAGGAGGGACGATCGTGTTAACAATGGGTAAAGTAAGTACTAAGGGTTAGGTAGGACGAATGGAATAGACCGGTCAAGGTATAATGTAGAATAAGGGGATGTACTGGTTTTTCTTTTGCTAGGGAACTTAAAAAGAAAAGGTTGTCAAGATGTCTGAGACTGGCGGCGCATTAGTTATTCCCAAGAAGGGCCTGACACTTGATGACCTCATCGCTGCCATCGACCGACATGAAAGGAACTCGAGCAACATCCCAAAGGTCGATACTTTCTATTTACGTGGGGAGAGAGTCTCAGAATGGCTAGAGCGGGTGGAACAAGCTTTGGTCGGGCGGCCGGATGTTGTAAAGTTTCAACGCATCCTTCAGTATGTCCTCCACAGCTACCATCAGGAGGTGAAGAAAGTCATAGATGCGGCTCAAGGTAGCTGGGAGAGGTTCAAGGAGGGGATGCAGAGGAAATACCGCCTGGGAGACGGGTTGTTAACTACCACGGACCTTGAAGCGATGAACAAAGAGGATTTTACGACTATAGGGGCCTTTGTTCAAGAATTTAAGAAGAGGGCGCGGAAGGTCCATGGGATTTCGGAGGAAGCACAGTGCGCCATCTTCCTGGGGCTACTCACAGCATCGGAGGCCGTCGAATTGACGAGACATGGAGGAGGTAGCACTAAGCTCACCTGGGCCACCATTAACAGAGGAGTGGAAGTTGGTTGTTTGGACCAGGTGGAACAACGTCACGTACGCCTGCAAAGGCAGAAGAGAAAGGAAAGAGATGCGACCGCTTCTGGGACCCCGGGAGTAACAAGGATTGTGACAGACGTATTGGCACAGCTAGGGTATGCGACAGAGCCAGTGGTGCAAAGAAGGGTGGTGACGGCTGTTAAAGTAAAAGGAAAAGAGTCAGTGATAGAGGAGGCTGGCCAGGAGGAGCTTTGGGAAGAGGCAGAGCCAGTGCCTCAACACTTGACGAAGGTCCAGCGCAAAGTGCGTAATTTGGCGCAGGGCGGACATGGATCAGGAAAAGCGCAGGCGCCTCAAACCCAGGCAGCAGCCCCTTTAAATGTGGCGGCTCCATCATCTAGTACGGGCCCCTCGCAAGGCGGGGCGTCCTCCTATGGACAGTCACCCTGGCAGGTGATCAATGCAATTGTGCCATGGGGAAGTACGCCGCCAGTAGCCAGACCGCAAACGAGTATGCCACCACCCATCTACCCCGC